AATATCTATGGAACATCTATGATTGTTCCATATGATATCTATGAATATATCTAATGGGTGTCGAATGGAGGTATGTAATGCGTACGGTGACCATATTTTCGAAAAGGAAATAAAGGACAAATCAAAAAATTTCAGGGTTTTCGTTCCGATATGCTTCTAAATGAATTTATGACTAATAATGTTCACTTGACATTCAGAATTTTAACACTGTGCGTCGACAAACAAAAAAGTTAACTCCGTTCGTGGCTATTTCAAACTAATTCGCCTCTTATACATATATTTCCTAAATAGGTTTCCGATAAAAAATAAAACGATTTAAATGTGAATAATTTTAATGACAAAAATTTAATGTAATAAACATAAAAACATATTTCTTTATTATTCTTATTTTTAAGTGCAGTTATTTGAACAAAACGAATGATTATGTTGCTAAATGATAGCTCCAGCTATCTTCATTAAGAACCAAAGATTTTTAGCACGAAATTTTTCACTTCTAAAAAAGTGATTTATCTGTGATATATAAAGCCTTTAGATCACACACACAGCCTCTTTAATGTTTAAATGTCTCTATGTTCTATGTGCTGCTGTGCTATTTTATTGCCGCTTCTCCACTGTTTGAGATATTGAAATAGCCCATTTCTCACATCTAATATCATTTTCTATAGTTATCTTCTTCATAAAAAGGAACTCTTCTTGTAATTTATCGTTAAATAAGCATTTTCTTTTAGGCGTCATGAGCTAAAATAAAAATTAATTTCATTAAAACTACTATTTAAATGTTTTACATCAAAATATACTTAAGGTACCTTTTCATGCTGACGCTCGACGCTCAATTTCGGCGTTAGAAGACATTACGTGACTAAAAATAACGAATCATTGCAGCGATTTTTGATCACATGATGTCTTTTGACGCTGAAATTCAGTATCAAGCGTCAGCATAAAAAAGTACCTTTAATAAAGATATAAGTTAGTACTACATTATCATAATTATTATATTACTACGCAATTACATTACTATAAATATCTTTCATGTAAAAAGATTAGTATAAAGATTTATAAATATTCAAGTGCATATTTGAATGGGTATTGTAATAATTAACTTACATTTTTAATGTTCAATCCGGATGAATAATTTTTATAATATTAATTTTGATATTCATATAATATTATTTAATGATATTTTTCAGATAAATGGATTTTTTTAAAAGTTTATGATTATTTTTGAGAAAATCATGAAACTGCAAACAATTCATATCGTAGTTGAATTTTGTGCGAATGCAGGCTTCTAGAGTTTCAACTTTTATTTGTGCTTTTTCGCTGCTCCAAAAATTATTAATAATTGAAAATGTTCTTTCAGTTGGAGCATTTGAGCCAGGAAGACATAAACAGTATTCAACAATTTTTAATATATTTTTAAAAGATATTTGTTTCTCACTAAAATGCTTAAATATTTCTATCCATTTTTCATCACAAGGCATTCTTGTATTTTTTTGCCACTCTTCAAGTTTTTCTTTGGTAATATAGCTTCTTATGCAACAAACTTCATCAAATAGTTCACCGTCATCAATATTTAGTTCTATTTTATTTAAAATAAGAGAAAGACTCTCTTCCACTTTTGACCATAATAATGGAATTTCTCGTAAAAGAATCCATTCAAATACTTCCATTTCTAGGAAAGCATTGTCCCATTGATTTAAATATTCAATACAGGTTTGGTAAAATAATTGCACATTTTCTTTAAATAATTTAACTTCATGGCTTTGGTATATTTCTAATTCTAAAATAATTTTTTTAACATTTATAGGTAGGAACTCTTGTTGTTTACGTTCAATTAATTTTAATTTTAATTCTTTCAAAATATGGAAAGTTTCGCACATAGAAATATTTTGAGATTCTATTTTTAGAATATGTGTATGAAAAGTATAAGCTTGACTGTGAACAAAAAATAACCATGCTTCAGCAAAAGGATTGTTAAAAAAGATTTTTAAAATTGTAGGACATTTTTCTTGCTCCAAAAAATACAATTTAAGAGGATGGAACAATTTCAAAATCCTTTCTAAAGCTGGTAACAGAGTCAACCATCTGGTTTTACGTAACCTAGTAATTTGTGATATTGAACATCTACATCATCACAAATTTCCTTAAAATTTTCAATTCTGATTGTATAGATGTAAAAATATGAATAAATTTTTACTAATATAACTTCAATATCAATTGGGAGACATTCCGAACCAGTGCAAATGCAATTATTGCATATATGGGCGGCACAATTGACACCAATTAACTTATTGTCACACATTCTTTGAATTTTATAAAAAACATTATTTTTGCCTTTTCTTTGAGCGCCACCAAAATTACAATTGGTGTTATCAGCACATAAAGCCACTAATTTTTTTGTAGATTCATATTCGTTTAGCAAATCCCAGATACAATCTTTTAAAATATCTGAAGTTTCACCTGGTAATTGTTTTATAGATAAAATCTTAACTTTAATACCTTCATTTGGTAAGAAATATCTAATAAGAACCGAACATAATTTTACATTACCATGATTGGAACAATCGGAATAAATTGTAACATAATTCACTTTAGATAAATCAGTTTTTAACAAGTTAACTAAATATGGACTAAAAACATTAAGAATTATAGCTTCTGTTTTTGTCCTAGCACAAGAATATTGTTCATCAAAACATTTTTTTATTAATTTTGAAGTGCAGTTATTAGAACGAAACGAATGATTATGTTGTACTAAATGATAACTCCAGCTAGCTTCTTTAAGAGCCAAAGATTTTTCTCTATCTTGAAACATTTCACTTCTAAAAAATGATTTTATCTGTTTATATGATGAAGCTCTCAAATCAGCCTCTTTATGCTTTGATGTCTCTATGTGCTGTTTTATTGCCGCTTTCCCACTATTTGCAATATTAAAATTAGCCGTACATTTTTCACATCTAACATCACTTTCTGTAACTGTCTTTTTAATAAAAGGGAACTCTTCTTGTAATTTATCATTAAATATGCATTTTCTTTTAGGTGCCATAGTATGGGCTAAAATAAAAATTAGTTTCATTAAAACTACTATATAAATGTTTTGTATCAAAATTCAAAATATACCCAGACAGCACAAGTATCTTAAAGATATCTTTTAAACTCTTAGTTTTTTAAATGTCTTTAAGGCATTTGTGCTGTCGGGATACTTAGTAAAGATATAGGTTAGAGGTTAGAACTACAATATTACGATTATTATGTTATACGCAATTATATTACTACTAAATATCTTTTATGTAAAAAGAATTATTAAGTATAAAGATTTATAAATATTTAATTGTATATTGAATAGGTATCGTAATAGCCAACTTACATCTTCAATGTTCAATCGGAACAAAATATATTTATCACAAAAAGAAAAATGTAAGAGAGAATCTTATTAATAACTAGATCAAGAGTACCTTGCTGTCAATAAAGTCTAATGAATTATGTCTATGTGCAATAATTTCATTAAAATAATTTGCAAGAAATGTACAATATTTTGACATAAATACTTTGACAGTACCGCTCTCTCTGGTGGTATCAAATAACTAATTTCGCTCTTGCAGGAAATCATTTGTTCTTTATAGCTGCACTGGAACTGTACTAAACAAGATAGTACAGATCAGACTATCTATCTGTCTTGTATTATCCTGTTATAATGCAATCCCAGTGCAGCAATAAAGGAACAAACCTTATATTTATCGATCGTTTTCGTAAAAATTTCACTTTAGTATGACATTAGACATTGATACACTAAGTAAAAAAATTAAGACTGTAAATTTGTAAATAAAGGACAAAAATTGTAATATAAAGGATACAAATTTAAAAAAAAGGACAAAAATTAAGTTTTACAAGAAATGAATAAATCTAAAGGACAACTACTTGAAAATAAGGACTGT